TTCGCTTGGCACCTAGCTGCCCAAAAGATATTTGCTAAAGAGCACCACAGCCTCAATACACAGACAATCAGAGTGAGTTAAAAATGAAAAGTATTCTTGTTTCTGACCCGCTAATATTGGTGGATTTCATATTAATTAAGCATTATTTTAAAATCCCAAAGTGTAGGATGACATGTTATAAATGACACTTCATATATCTAAAACACAACAAAAAAAAAAATTTAAACATCAAAAAATAATTGTAGAAAATTGCACAAATCAGAAAGTAGGTGTCTGAGTAAGTATTCAGTCAAGTAAACACTGAGTAAGAACCCACCAGTCACACCTTATCCTGGGCCTGCACCTGATTTTCCTAGACTAATATATTTATCCTAACAGTGCTGAAATTGCTCGAAACAGTATTGGTACTCCTTTTTTTGGAATGCCTTCTAAGTTAGACAATGAGGCATAAAAGAAAATCAGTATCTCTATTTCATTCACAAGTTGATTTTCTCAAACTAAATATATCTGTACCCCTTCTTCAGAATTTTCTGCAAATTACTTTGTCAATTTTCAAAAAAGATGAAGATTAACTACTGGTAAGATATTCATCAATTTGTTTCACAATCACTGAGTAATGCCACCATGCTTTTAGTTTTGTGGAGAAGTTAAAATGTGATATGAAATGTTTATGGAAATGCATTGTTCACAAGACAGTTCTTTGCAGATTTAGGTGTAACTGCTTTAAAACTTAAATGAATAATCACATAAGAGAAACTCCAAGTATAGAAAAAAGAACATTTGTATTCATATTACTTTCTTATGTTGTGTTAAAAAAAATTTCTTAGAGGCTGTAATACTTCCAAATTTTCTTTTTAAAACTTCATTATGAAAAATCTCAAATAGATCCAAAAGTAGAGTGAACAGTATAATCAAGCAAATGTACTCATCACCCATCTTCAACTGTTAACATAATCAGTTTTATCTCATCTATATTCTCATTCAGTCTCTCTTCCTTTCTGTCACAGAATTATATTAAAGCAAATCTCAGATGTCTTATCATCCAGTTCTGAAATAATTCAGTTCCTATCTCTAAAAGATAAGTAATCTTTTAAAAAAATATAACCATAATCAACTTCAAACCCAAAAAAAAATTACAATTTCTTAATATTATCAAATATTCAGTCAAGAAAAAGTCAAATGTTAAGAACACCAGTACCCTGAAAGATGTAATACTCAAAAATGCAATAAAAAGGCAACATTGTCTTAATGTAGAGACCTGGAGATCAGGGGCTTTAATGGGGTAAATCTAGGAATGGCATGCCAAATTTCTAACATATGCATAGGAACAATTTTTCTTGGTTGATAGCATTCATCAGAATGTCAAGAAGCTTGAGATCCAAAACATTTAAAGACTTTTTGCCTCTGGTTATGATTGTGTGTGCTTAGTGCCACCTCACCTCACATTGCCAGGAAGGATTAGTCAAGTAGGAAAACAAATCCACATAAAATAACTTAGAGATCAAACTGAATTCAACTCAGCTGGTACTGAGCATACACTAAGTGCAAGACACTGGGTTAAATCATGAGAAACAAAGATAATTTCGACCTAGTTAATGTACATTCTAGGATGAGAAGAGACCAAACAGATTAATAATAATAACTATAATAGAATGTGATGAGAAAGTGCCTGCTTTAGTTATTTTCATGGAGATCCAGATGAAGAAGCAATGTCAATTTAGCTGGTGTAGGGGGTGGGGGCAGAAAAAGGGGTTGCTAGAATCCATAAGAAGAGAGAATTAAAGCCTGCCAGTAATGATACCAGCAGCCATGTTGCATATCAATATCCTCCATACAAAGATTTTACTTATAACCCTTGCCAAGAGACATGAATAAATGTATTTACTAGCATGTATATTTCCCTTACTGGATAGAGAGGGAGAGATGAACATGAAAGCTCAATAAAAGAGGTTTTGTTTAAATTGTGTCTGTAAAGTTGAATAGTTCATCAGATCTGGAGAAGAGATTCAGTGAAAAGGGAAGGGAAGTCATTCCAGGAGGAGAAAAGCAGGAACAAAGTGGTGGAAATTATTGGCAGGCTAGGGAACAAGCAGAGTGGTGACCTTAGAGCCCGGTGTATGGGAAGGCCCAGATGACTGGAAATGCCTGCTGAGACCACTGGTGGACTGGAACCTTCCAGGACAGATCTAGCCCTCTATTCTGTGGCCAGAGGAGAGCCGTTCACAAGATGACAGATGCTCAATGTTTATTGAACTGGTAGTTCCCTGAATTAGCTAGAAGGAGACAGGTGGGAGAGAAGCAGGCTATTTAAGATGCACTGCAATAGGTCTAGAGTGCTAGTAGTAGAAAAAGATATGAGAGGACACATACAACATTTCAAACATTTCAGGAATCATTATTCCAATTCTGGCTCTGACATTCCTAATACGGGATCATGGGCAAATTATTTCCCTTCGTTTTTGTCCTCTTATTTGCAGAAATGGAGATAATACTGGCTAATTCCTGGGTTGTCATAACACTAAAATAATTCTATGCAAAGCATCTAGTAGAATATCTAGCAGACTAAATAATATGAAGTAGCTATTTTACTATCGATAAAACTTCTTTGATGTGAATCTATTTTACTATGCTCATTATCTATCTTATTCCTACATTAAATATTTACACTGTACAAAACTACTAATGTAGTCAATCCATCTAATGAACAATGCCCATTAGGCATCTGTTTCTAGACATTTAAACTCAACATGATCTATTTGCATTTCTAGGTAGATATTGGATTCTCTTTAAATGTTACTGTCCCTAAATTCACTGGCCATGTATTCAGAGAGAACTAAATACCAACCAGGTGTCATAAGGCATCAAGAAAATAGATAGTAAGCTGCTATCCTCGAGGAACTGACAACCCCAGTGAGACAAACAGGTGTGACCTTCAAGTAACCATGGCCCAGATTTGGCACAAGAGATGGAAATAGTAGCCATGAAGTACCCAATTCTGTGTACGCATCTGCTGGTAAGATGCTAAATCACATGTTCCAGGTTACTACTCAAGCGTTTTTTTAGGTTTGTGGGTTTCTTCCGCATGATACTATGTTATAAATCAAGTAACTCTGGCACTAACAGCATTACAAAAGATTGGTCACTCACAGAAAAGCCTTACTACTTGTTTGAACAGCCACATCATTATTAAAACATCATCCAACAAAAGTATCTTTGTTATACACTGAGATGAATAATTTCAAACCATTTTCATGTAAGATGCTCTGGCTCAGATCTGCCCCAGTTTAGAGTGGGAAAACAGCTGGAGTTTAGGAAAGATTTTTGCTAAAGGCAGCAAATAATGATAAACATATTCCAGGAGATTTCAGATGTATTAGTGAAAGCTTCACGCAAAATGAATGCTTAAGGCCAGAGGAAAATGCCTTTCACTTTTTGTACAGCACTATGAGAAGAAACAGTGGTCCTGGGGATAATTAAAAAATAAAAACACCTACACAATTATTTAAATATTTCTCTTTGACACATACACGTCTCTTTGCACACACTTACTGAGAGAAACATCAATAGTACTCTGCAGGGAAACAACAGTAAAAAATAAACACTAATTTGCAAAGAAACTTTCATTGATGATGTAAATATAAACGTGCACCCTGGAGAAATGACTGATTCCCACATTTTAGCAAGCAGGTCTTCTTTCTAAATACACGCTTGTATTTACCCCCATCTACCTATAGTCGAAGCTCTAGGCTACATATTACACTTGAATGAAGGTTGGATTAAGAGGCTAATCTAAGGCTATATATAGGCAGCAACACCAATTTAATCTCCGCCCTCTCCAACCTCCCCACCCTCCATTCCCTATTTCCATAAATCTCAAGATCTGAGTTACAAAGGGAACTGAGAACTCTAGCAGAGCAAAGAGGCCTTTCCCTCTCCCTCCCCCAGACTGTCTCTCATAAACGAAGTATTAGTGCAAGTGTAAATTGTTTCTAAACATCCTTAACAGGCGGCATAGGGCCATCAGGTCCGGTTTTCTTACACAGCTTCCACAGAGGCCAAGGAGATGACAAGTAGTGGGGAGGGCGAGGATCACCAACATAAAAACTATGCTCTCCCAAGTCTATTCTCATCAGGCACTCACTCGCCCCTAATGGGGCGCTCTCCTCCCCACCCCTAGCCCGAGCCCCGGCCCCAGCCTGCCCCGGAGCCGCGTCTGGCGGTGCCACGCACGAGACCATGTGCACCCGCCACTTCTCACCGCGTGGCTGGCCCCCGCCCGCCAGCCCGCGGTCCCAGGGTCTCCCGGGACGGCCAAACGAGGCTAGTCTAAGGTCTTCATCCTGGGGCACTGATACCCCGTGCGCGCGGTGATGATGAGGTGGAGCGAGGGCTTCTCCGAGACGCAGGAAGCCGCCCCGGGAGGCACACGCTTCCTCCCCGCCAGCTCCGGCTCTGTGGAAGCCCCTGAGGGGCGGCAGTCGCGGCTCTCGCAACCCTCCCGGCACCCCCTGCCTCACCTAGGCAGCTTCTCACCTGTCCGAGGAGGTAGCGACGACGCGCAAGGCTGGGGGCTGCGGCGATTCGTGCAGCGGCAGCGACGGCAGCGGCAGCAGCGGCGGCAGACAATGGAGGAGTGAAGGACAGACACATTGACATAGACACACGGAACCCGGCGCAGTCCCGCCTCCCGCACCGCCCCCGCCTCCCAGCCCGCCCCCCACTCGGACCGCGCCACTCCCGGGGGCATGGTGGAGATACAGCGACAACCGGGGGCCTCTGCACGCCCCAGAAAGCCGTCGCTGAACATAGAACCACTAGCTAGGAAATTATTCAATACTACACTTGGCCAAATATTTAAAGCGTGCAGGACAGGGGTACGGAACGTGTAGGAGAAATTTAATTCCCCCCTCCGGATTTCTGCATTTGGTTTTTCCCTCCCAGGTTGCTCCAATGGTGGTCTCTCGCTGCCGCCTCCTGCGGCTCCTCCTCCTCGGCCGGCCCAATGACAGGCGGCGGGCGGTGACTGCCGCGCGGCCTGCAGAGACTGCCCGCCCGGCTCGCCGGAGCTCGCCCGCTGTCCGCCTGCCCGCTGGAGGGAGGAGAGAAGTGGAGCGCTTCCGCCGTTGGCTACTCAGTGTCTTGGTCTCAACTTGCCTCTTTGCGTCCGGCGTTCCTAATACAGACGCATCGTTTCTTTTTTAATACTTGCTAAGACACAGAATAACCTTCAAGCTGGCGGGACCAATGGTTCACATAAAGAAAGGCGAGCTGGCCCAGGAGGAGAAGGAGCTGCTGGAAGTCATCGGGAAAGGTATGGGAGCTGGGCTGCAACGCGGGCGCTGCCGGCCTGGCCGGGGGGCGTGGCGGGGCCCGGGGGGCGCCCCTGGCCTGGGTGGCCTTTGGCTGCGGTTCTGCAAGGTTGGCAGCCTGGAGCCGGGAAAGAGGTTTCTCCCTTTGGTCTGGGACGGGTTGCGGGTCGGACAGGGGAGGTAGAAGCAGTGCTGGGACAAGAGAGGTAGTTACAGAGGCTCGGCCTCTAAATCCGCCTTCGGAAACGTACGGATTTCCACACCCTATCTTAGATTAATGCGAGCGTCCCGGGGCGTGGGCCCCAGTGTGTGCCTTCTTCACTGCTTCCCGGGGATTTTGACCACGGTGGGTCCTGGTGGTTTCAGGTTCTTAGGCGGGTGTCTAAAGCGCCCTTTAGACTTCCGCAGGCCGAATGATCTGGATACTTTGCTGCTCCCCGCCCCCGCTTGGGAGTGTACGGCGCCCTTAGGGAGAGGGGTTCTTTATAAGGGCACAGAACTAGGTCTGTAATTTGCTGCACTGAGACTTCCGCATCCAGAGCCTCCCTGGCTTCCATAAGCCCCGACAACCACAGGAACCCTAGAGAGACGAGGGAATTGGCCAGGCGTCCACACCCACCCCTCGGCCCACGTTGCACAGCAGCGACTTTCTCATCGCGCTCCCCCGCGCTTTCTGGTCCACTCTCCCCACGCGTGCCCCACTTCCTCTCACTGAGTCCCATCAGGGAGCCCCAAAGAGGAGCCAGAAGCCGTATTTCTCCGCAGTCCCCGAGTGGACGTCCCAGAGGAGTTCCCTGCCGAGTCCCGTTACCTGGCAGGTGACATCAGCGTGACTGCATGCTTCTCCTGCACCCTCACAGCGCGGGGCTGGGGATACCTGGGACTGCGGGCATAATTAATGTGGTGATTTTAAACGCAATAATAATATAGCCGTGTCTGCCCTCGAATGGCAGAGATTCCAGTCTTTGCAGCATAGGGCTTCCTAGTTTCCAATTTTATTTACTTAGTAGCCAGGCCAAAATGTGGAATCCTAGACAATAAGGCAGACTTATTCTTCATAGCGACAAGGAAACTCAAGGAAAAAAAATTCAGGTTTGAACTCAACAGGTGCTGATGAGCTGAGCCCACCAGACCTGATCTCAACTATTCTAAATCAATCATAGTTACATCTATCAGTGATGTTTTCTTTGCCTGGAATTTGGGGATTTGGGTTAGAGTTTTTATTGTTGTACTACTGCATGGTTCTCTCAGACCTATTTGTCATTTCAGTCTTTCGGTTCTTCCTGTCTCTGGGTAATTTCTCCCTGCCTTTGATGGCTCCCGCGTTCATTTAAGCAAACATGCAGGTTCTCGCTGTGTTCCAGGTACTGTGTTGGGCCCAAAGGAGACAAATGATCAATTCACAATCCACCAGGGACAAAAATTCTTTTAAACCTAACAGAGCTAGTACATGTCCTCTCTTTTTTTTTTTTCTCTCCCTCTCTCTTTTGTTTGTTTGTTTGAGACAGTATCTCACTCTTCACCCAGGCTGGAGTTGCAGCTCTTTGCAGCCTCCACCTCCCTAGTAGCTGGGACTACAGGTGTGAGCCACCATGCCTGGCTACTTTAAAAGTTTTGTTTGTTTGTTTGTTTGTTTGTTTGTTTTTTGGTAGAGATGGGGGTCTCCCTGTGTTGCCCAGGCTGATCTTGAACTCCTGGACTCAACTGATCCTCTGCCTCAGCCTCCCGAAGTGCTGTGATTACAGGCATGAACCAGAGCCTGGCCCATCATGAGTTCTCTTAAAAGTGGAAAATAGTGGCCGGGCGCGGTGGCTCAAGCCTGTAATCCCAGCACTTTGGGAGGCCGAGGCGGGTGGATCACGAGGTCGAGAGATCGAGACCATCCTGGTCAACATGGTGAAACCCCGTCTCTACTAAAAGTGCAAAAAATTAGCTGGGCATGGTGGCGCGTGCCTGTAATCCCAGCTACTCAGGAGGCTGAGGCAGGAGAATTGCCTGAGCCCAGGAGGCGGAGGTTGCGGTGAGCCGAGATCGCGCCATTGCACTCCAGCCTGGGTAACAAGAGTGAAACTCCGTCTCAAAAAAAAAAGTGGAAAATAGTGAGCAGTTTTATAAATTGAGTCTCTGACAGGGGAGAAAGGATTCCTTGGATACATTCTCAGGTGTCCACTAGTTTTTATTTCAAAGAATATATAAACTTGAATGAATGTGCATTTATTCTGGTTAGTGCTGTGGTATTTCTGGGCTCACATGGTACATCGAATTGCCTGAGTGCACTGATGCTTTCATTGCTTTAATTGACCCACGCCAATGAGAAAAGAACTGATGTGGACCTAGAATGTGATGCCTTCTTGTCAAATGAAGGTTTGTGGGACATCACTTGCACTCACAAAGAAGAGTAATGGGCCAGGCACGGTGGCTGATACCTGTAATCCCAGCACTTTGGGACGATGAGGTGGGCGGATCACGAGGTTAGGAGATCAAGACCATGCTGGCTAACACGGTGAAACCCAATCTCTACTAAAAATACAAAAAAAAAATTAGCCAGGCGTGGTGGTACGCACTTGTAGTCCCAGCTACTCAGAAGGCTGAGGCTGGAGAATCGCTTGAACCCAGAAGGCAGAGGTTGCAGTGAGCCGAGATTGAGCACTGCACTCAAGCTTGGGTGAAAGAGCAGACTCCATCTTAAAAGGAAAAAAAAAAGAAAGAAAAGTAATGGGAGAATGGGAGATAGGAGAAAAATAACCATAGCCAACGTTTACTGACTATTATCGCCAGCCACACATAATTTTAAGTGCTTTACACATATTAATGCATTTAATGTTGATGAGCCAGGAATTAGTTTTAAGCTGTAACAGTATGAGAGACAGCATGGGCTAGTGGTTAACCATGCAGGCCTTGTTTGAAATTCTAACTCATTTACTGGTGATGTGGCCTTTGGATGAGTGACTTTTCCTGAGCCTCAAGTCCTCCATGTGAAAAATAGGAATAATAATAATACCTACCTCGAAACATTGTTATAAGGATGAAAAGAGTTAGTATAGTTAAAGCATTTAAAGCACTGCTTATGTTTGAGATAAATATGGTAATCTTTACTTCATAGGCAAGGAAACTGAGGAACTGGGGAGTTAGGAAATAGCATCAAATAGGTGAGTAGCAGAGCAGAGGTATCACAGGGCTTATAGGCAGTAAATAGGCTGCACTTAAAAACAAACTAAACAAAATGTGAAACCAGCACCATAGCAGTCCATGGAGTATTCACTCTGAGAAGTCATTTAGGTTTACCAAAACAGCATCTGTCAAGTTAACTCAGTTTTAAATGTTACTGATTTTGTAGTTTTGTATGCATTAAATTTAAAATAAATTTTTATTTTATAATTGAAGAAAAATCATAAGCAAAGTTTATATTTCTGCCAAAAATAGCCTTCTTTTTCTTTTCTTTCCTTTCTCTCTCTGTCTCTCTTTTTTTTTTTTTTGAGGCAGAGTTTTGTGCTTGTCTCCCAGGCTGGAGTGCAGAGGCACGATCTCGGCTTACTGCAGCCTCCACCTCCTGGATTCAAGTGATTGTCCTGCTTCAGCCTCCTGAGTAGCTGGGATTATAGACACCCACCACCACACGGGCAAATTTTGTACTTTTAGTAGAAACCAGGTTTCACCATGTTGGCCAGGCTAGTCTTGAACTCCTGACCTCAGGTGATCTGCCCAGCTTGGCCTCCCAAGCATTTTTTTAAAAAGTGGGTGAAGTGAGGGGTTTTTTGTTGTTGTTGTTGTTGTTGTTTGCTTTCATACATTTTTCAACTTTGAAAAACTCTAGACTAGATAATAAGTTCTAGTACTTGGAACTAATTAACTTTTCAGCAAAATCTGGCCTGGCATCTGAAACAATCTAAAATGAACTTGGCAAATATTTAAGTGATTCCCCACCTGCCAGCCACTGCTCTCCAGAAATTAGCAGACTATAAATGGGACTTTTTATTTATTAGAATGCCAAGAAGTTCCAGATGAAAATGAAAATCTGTTTCCAGCATACCCATTTAATAGTTAAGACAGCATTCATTTAACAATATGTAAGAGAAAATTGAAATCACTGAACTGTGTTTAATTGGCTTACATTACTTGTAGAGTGACCCATTCTTCTAAGCTTTGATACCTTTTTCATTAATCTCTGAGCAAGCACTATTGTGAAATAAATTAAACCTTTTTCAAGGTTATGAGCTAGATGATTTTCCTATTACTTATTTAATAACTGAAATTCCTGAGCTCACTGTTGGTAACAAGAAAGTGATATATTTCCTATTTTTTAAATCATATCTGTGTAAAAGAAGCTATGAAACAGGTTTGGACGATAGAGTTTTTCTTACCTACTTTATTGAGATGCAATAAATTGCACATATTAAGGCACACATTTTTTTAATCAATTTTGATTTGAACATACATCTGTAAAACCATCACTAAGATCAACGTAATGAACTTCTCTATCACCCCCCAAAAAGTCCTTATACCTCTTTGTAATCTGTCACTACTTTCCCCCCCCAGCTGCAGGCAACCACTAACAGATTTCTGCCTCTTGATTAGATTCTATTCCAGAATTTTATATTAGTGGAATCGTACAATAAGTATCCTTTTTTTGAGAGAGGGGACCTGGCTTCTTTCATTCAACATTATGATTTTGAGGTTCATTTGTATTGTGTGTACCAGTAGTATGTAGCTTATTTTCTTCTTTCATTTCCACTGGAAGGATATATTATTATTTGTGCATCCATTTACATGGATGGACAATTGTTGTTTCCAGTTTGGGACTATTGAAGTAAGATCCTGTTCTAAGGTCCTATGTAGTTAATAATACTTCTAGTGACTTTATGGTTGAGAAACATTCAAGTCTGCTTATAACCAATTATAGTACAGAGTTCAAAGAAAAAATTAACTTAAAATATATGGTTACCATTAGTTGTATGGCCGGACAGGTTATGCAACCTAGATGGGCTTCATTAGCTCTTTTAGA